GTGTAAACTCTTCGTTTTTATTTGTTAAAATTACTAAATTAGAAATTTGTTCAATTGCTTGGTTTAATGATTTAGGAACTGAGGGTAATATTTTTTAACGTTCGTGGTATAAAGATTTCCTGATATTATGAACATCAGAATACTTAGTTGTACTATACGTGGAAAGCTCTGTACGTATTATTTTATTCGGTCGTAAAGTTAAATCTTCGCATGCTTTTCTTTTACACCTACCTTGAACGTCCAGAGTAAGTTTAAACTTTCTTCAGTTTACGGATCATGGGTATAACTGTCTTTAATTCCGGTTAACTTCGATTTTGAATTATTGGTTTTGAAATATGCACTACAAGTTTTTTTTTTACACAACGCCAACTTATATTTTCAGAAACGAGGTTTCTACTCACGTGATATTTAAAATACCTAACGAAAAACAAAACAAATTTAAATTTTATAGTTATACGAATATACTCAATAAATGGCAACGTTGCACGATTTTCACCTGATCTGAATCGGGTGCATATGGGCTATGATTTGGGGCGCAAATGGGCTACGATAAATGGGTTCGGGCGCAAATGGGTTGTGCGGCCGGATCGAAGGTAATAAAATGTTTTAGTGTCATCGTTACGCGCAAAGATTATTACGCACCGGATACCTACACGATTGCATAATAAATTAATATTATTAGATAGAAATATGTAACTTGATCAAATTTTCTAGGGAACTTTTGTAAAATCAATGACGCTTAAAATAAAATAAAAACATATTAATGGCATTTTTTTTTTTTTGTTTGCGATGGCTTTAAATAGTTTTGAATTCATTACACTGGTATAATATTATATTTGTAATACAAATTTTGTATTGCATAAAATTAATTACATATTCTATTATTTTGTATAATATGAATCTTAGAAGGATATATAATCTCATCATAGTTATTATAGCTAACGAGAACTCGTCTCTGCGCAGTGTTTGCTCTCGTACTGCAGCGTAAACACACGTCTGCCTATTGTTGGATACCTATAGGTATTATTATTATATTATAGGTTATATCACTTAAATATAACCTATAATATTCCACCAGCCTGCTTATGCAATTTGTGAGCAAACACTGTGCAAAGACACCCTGTACATAATAATTAAGCATGCGTATACACAATATTGTTTTGTTTAAATTGGGTAACAGTCGTGTCCTGCAATGGTAGATTATGTTCACTGACAAACATGTCATATCGCTCACAATGAACTCTTAATCAGATTACATATGGTTCGTAAATTTTGCAAATACGTTACACGATGCATGCCTATATGTATGAATGCACTGCTAACCATCGTATACTGCAGGTAAATCATCTAAGGACACTGCACTAGAACCTGGAAGCGGTTCTTTCAACGTGATCAATGTTCGTCAATATATACATAACACACACGTCTCTTTTACACACACAGATATAGGTAGGTATATTATGTATAGGTACTAGGAAAAATACTATACAGCCATACGCCTACACGCGTGCTTGCACAGAGCATATCGTTTGTTGCATTACACAACATTTAAATATTTTTATTTATAGGGATATGTACTTTTTTTTTCTCATTATTKATWATACCTTCGGAAACATGGGCCATTGGGCTTACAGTGCGAAAATTATAAATCACAGAAATTACGAATTACATTAAATTTTAGGTATAAGATTGGCGACTGTGATGAATTGAATGATGTTGGTAATGGATTGAGGGTGATTGCGTAGAGTTTCTGATAGTGATTCGGATAGGTTGTGGCTTCTTCGGGTACTGTAATAGGTTCGGCATTCCGTGAGTATGTGGTTGATGGTGACTTGGACACCGCRGGTTGTGCATATTATTGGGGGTTCTTCTTTGGACATTAGGAAACTGTGGGAGATTTTCGTGTGTTCAATTCTTATAGTCTGGTTATTATTACTTAAAATTTTCTGTGAATTTCAAAGGGAAATGTCCAATTATCGGTGTTATGTTTTATATGATTTAATTTCGTGTAAAGTATATGTACTATAACATTATATAAATCGCCTATTTTATTATGGTTTGTAAATGACACATGACGCATAGAAGTATAGAACTCATAACAACTGTTCTTCAAATTAATACATAGTACGTATATTGTGTTGTTTGAAACGTCAAGTTTTGTAACATTTAAAATATTTAGATACACAGTCACACAGGTATTAAAACTGTTGTATCAATATTTTTTTTAAATCTTGATAAAAAATTCCTACATGGGGGGTTGCCTATATTACTATTGTATACCTGTATAGTATATACAGGGTGATTCTTTTATCAAACAACACTCATTATTTCAAAAACTATTGAATTTTTTCAAATTTTTTTTTTTCAAAATTTTGGAACCATCTTGTTCTAGAACTATATATTTTTTAAATATTTTCACCCTTATATTTATCAGGCTAACTATTATCAACTTTTGATTTTCAAATGACAACCTATACTTAAAATTTGATAAACTAGAAAGGCTATTTTTTCAATGAATTTTCCCGTTTAAATTTTCATTTTTCGTCAATTCGTTTACAAGATATAGCCTCCCAAAGTTGGGTGGTTTTGGGTGGTGTTTGTGTGTTATAGGTGTATGTTAGGTGGTATTTACAAACAAACACCATATAAGTGTTGTTTGATAAAAGAATCACCCTGTATATATATATATATATATATATACAACAATAAATATTAAACATATTATAATAACAATATTTTTATCGTAGACAACTGTTCGATAAAAAAATTAACTCTTTATTACGGTACCTACCTGCCTACCTAATACCTATTACATAATATTTGCATGATATACTTATCAAACAAAATATGTGGTTTAAACATAGTATAATCTAATCTTACAATAATGTATTACTTTWTTTTAAATATTTTTTTTAGAAAGACATTTCTTTTACTTAGAATATAAGTAAAAGATACAGTTTTGAGTAACTTGTATAATTATTCAAATTTTTTAATTCTGATAATTTTGAATAAAAAATATAAAAATACAATAATGCAATTACAGTACAAAAAAACCATTTAATGTCAACAATACAATTATTACAATTTTGATATTGTATTATTAATAATCGATCTATTAAGAAGTAATAAGAACAATATTATGTGACTTAAATATAAAAGATTAAATTATAGACGCCTTGGTAATATACAAGATTAATTAATGTAACATTATTGAAAACAAATTAAAAAAGCAATCATTTAATTATTATAATATTATAATTTCATTAGAAAAAGAAGTTCTTTCTGACTATCGTAAATTRAAGACAGTTATTTAATTTAAATAGTATTATAGTAGTATAAAACATAAAAATATAAATTTAATTATTATTTGTATAAGCCTAATTAAAGGACTTAAATCAATAAATGTAATTTATATTTYATCCTATTTGTAAGAAGTCTCATTTAAAAATATCTGTCTGACATTTTTAATCAATTAAATATAATACCAAAAAATAAAGTTTAAGCTAATATTTTTAAATTTAAAAGCTTTACATTTTTTAGTCTTACAAAGTTAAAAATACATAAACTAAAAAAGTATAATTTTCTTATGAGATTTAAAAAAATATAAATTCAAATTTATGACATTAATTATTTTATAAGCGTATTAAATAAATTAAAAATATAATAATAATAATCTAACCTACTACCTATACCTAATATAATAACGTACAAACCTTACACGTTATAAATTATAATCAAACAACTATTATATCAGTTATAGTGATGAAAGGATTATGAAATGTATTGTTAAAAAAAGAAAAAAATTATAGTAAATTTTAGTAACCGGTGAAAAAAAATAACCGGTTTTATGTAAAAATTCTTGATAAAATATGAATCTTAAACGAGGGGATCATGTTTTCACTAAATTATAATGATGCATAAAAATTACAATTACATTAAATATAATTTATACAAGAGAAATATATTTTGTAGTATTAACAAAGCTTAAAATCTCATTGAAATGGAAATTAGTGGTTGTAACTAATTAATTATGATTAGCTTATGTTTATCCCCTTATAATTTAATGACTGTTACGTTTGCTGAGAAAGGGGTGAAATCGTGAAATGTATATATTGAGACAAGCTTAAAATCTTTAAGTGGGTCATCATTTAAAGCGGCAGAATTCTGAAATGTTAAAATAAAAACCATATAATACATTTGATAAAATATAATAAACATACGACACATTTATTTTAGTTGATTAGCAACTAGTAATAATAATAATTTTTACAAGTATAATGCCAGGCAAACCAACCCCCTCCACCCAATAAGCTCAATATTTAAAACATAACACTTTAAGTTTCATCATATACGTATATGGTATATATTATATATAGTGCAGATGGGTCGCTCATTTTTATCATAATGCATATAATAATGATTAAACACTACACTATGCCATATAAGATCACGTGTCTTTGAAAAAAAATTTGAATTAATATTAATGCACCTATTTAAATTGTAATATACTTTCTAGCAGTACGTGTAAATCTTAAAAATATGAATAGGTGCCAGGTGGTACATAATATAACATTTAAAAGTCAGAGAACCGCTGCACTATACAATGCAGGTATTGTTATTCAAAAATAGTATGATTACACATTATATTGGTTCCACAGTCAATTATTGAACTAATTTTTGTAATGTTTAAACTTAACTTGATAAATAAATTGATATTTTTTTTTACTTCCCATGAAAAATCAAACTAAACACTATAATATATGTATACAAAAATAATAATTTTTATCAATGTGAAAAATAATTAACAAGAAATTTTAATTCGTTACAAGCAATGAATAATATTATATACATGCATGTTATCATTAGACAACAGTGACACTCATGCATGGTGCAGTTAATGATCATTGTATAAAAATTTTGTTCTCATACATAAAAACTCCCACAGCCCCTGAATGGTTTCAAAACTTCGCCCTTATCTATATATTTAATGCGTCTCCTACGCATTATTGGAGCTAATAAGATTATTGACATTTTCTGTGTGAACGTCGTTGATATTTAATTATTGATGAAAATATAAATAAAAATAACTTGATACAAATATTTTAATTTACATAATACGTCTAAATTAATATATTTAAAATGCTATTTGAATATAAACGTTTTAGTCTCAACATACTCGAATGCATTATTTTTATCATGCAGATAAAAATATAATATTATAATTTAAGTAGGTGCCTAATTGAATATTTTATATTGATAAAAATATTGTTTTTATAATTAAGATTTTTTTAAAAGCCTTAAAAAATTATTCCTCATTATTATAATATCAGTCATCCAATATTCGGTTATTGCGGCTACAGAAAAATAACACGAATCCACATACAATATATATGGTGACTATAATATATTATCGTCTAATTACGTTAACAATTTTTACCGATTAACAACTAAAAAATATTCTTTGAGTATTTTACACGCAAATAAAAAAAATACAAACAAAATAGTACCTGAGTATAATAAATAAAAAATATATATTTATATATAATATTATAAATAATATTCAAGTTAGTTATTATAGTTGTTGACGACGTACTGATAAGGCGGCAGGTATGACGTTTGATGTACCGAAAAATGTTGCTTGGCCGTATTCGGTTGCATTTCGTGATACCTGGCATGATAATAATATTGTTCACCAGGGTCAACACAACTGCTTGACGTGGATGGATATTGGTTACTCATTGTTAGGTACTGATCCAGTTCCGAACTGTCCACCATGTCAGCTCCAATAGCCTCCACCGCCGGTAGATCATCCATACGACCAAAATCTAGACTGTAATCTATCGCAGATTCACCCGATTCACCACCTTAAATAGCAATAATAAATGTTAATAATTTATTATTAATTAAATAGCTTGAAATCAGCTTGAAATGTAACACAAGATTTTTTATAAATTGTTGTTAACCATTTAAAGTTATATAAAAAATATCATACTCAAACACAACAAATTTGTACAGATATTTTGAGTTATCGTTTTAACGAAATTGAATATTTACAACAAAAAAAAAACGAATTTAGTTATTTTATTATAAATAAAAAAAAATATTAACCGTTGGATTTGAAACTTTTCGGAAATATATTAATATATTTATTGTAAATAATATGACATTTTCAAACTATTTATACACACCATGCTCCGGTGCGGCACTCGGTATTGGTTTTATAGTTAATAACAATAATTAATAAATTATAAAATATCCTTAAAGAACGTGGCACAGTCTTAGCTCAGAAGCATTTTAGTATAATTTGCAACGATTTATCATTGACCTAAAATCTGACACATATTTTATAATGTTGCAGCACAATGGCCTTACTCAGTGGTACAGTCATGGTACAACTCGAGGTCGAGGTATACAATAAAAATTTATATAGCTGCAAAACGACTTTCCCGGTTTTTTTAAGTTAAAATAGATGGGCGACGAGCCGAAGTATTTCAATGCTTACCGTAACAAATAGTATGCGTAGTGTTGCAATAGCCGTTTTTGAGTTTGGCTGGGTAATAGTTTGGAGTAGTAGGAGGAGTTAGTGGTTCTGGTGCTGAACCAGATGGACTATTACTACTGGTCGATGATGAGCTRGCAGGAATCATTTCTTGTTTAATTGATCGATTACTAGTGGTGCTATTTATAAAACAAATAAATAATAATAACAAACCTAAATATTAACAATTGTTATAACTTATAACCAACATACAACAAAATYCTGATTACCGAAAATAATAATTATTCAAATCTGAAACTGTATAACATTAAACCTAATCGATAATTAATCAAAAGTTATGCTTATACCTAGTTAAAATAGTTATAAACATACATAATTAATAGTAAAGAATAAAAAAATATAAATGCTTGGTTTATGCTTACAGRTATTTTACGATCAATTTAAAAGCAGCACCTACGAATCTATCTATTTTGATTCGTGCTGTGATAATTCAAAAGTGTATTTAAATGTGTATAGGTAAGGTAACAGTTTAATATAAGAAAATATGCATTTATCTGAAAGCGTTCTAAACGCCACACGGTTACACAGAATAAGTGTTAATATTATAATAAATAGACATCGAGATATTATTGTATCTTTGAATATTATGAGATTGTCATAAAAAAATCTGACAAAAATGTATATCTAAGTTATATCGAAGTACGCTTAAAAATACCTAGCAATATGAAACTAAGTTCAAATCGTTTGATATATTTCKATATTATTAAGGTCTTTATTGTCTATAATCTTATAAGCAAATCATAATAAATGCACTGCATTAAATAAAAATATGTACATTTATGGATAATTTACAATGTGCACAGACAATTTTAAATACATTTTATCATTATTATTATTACCTGTTACAGTTCATCGACATGTCATGTTTTAAATTCCGTTGATACTGAGGATCGTTTGGCTCAGATTTATCATGCTTTGATTTGTCCTGTATCTTTGGCATGCCCTTAGCCGCCTTGCGTCGACGTGGTTGATATTTATAATCGGGATATCTGTTCTTGTGGAGCACTCGCAGCTTTTCAGCCTCTTCTATAAATGGCTGTTTATCATCTCCACTCAAAAGTCTAAAAAAAAAAAATAGTATATTTAAAAAATAACTATAAGTCACTAATATATGGTTAGATACATAATAATTTATATAATATTTAGTGTTTGAAGTATGAGAAATATTTCATAAAATATTTCAATGTTTTGTGAAATATTGGATTTTTATTAATTATTTCACTATTTGGCCCTACTGCATTATCAATTTTATCTTCCCGCCAATTTAGGAGATAACTAGATTACAGTAATTATAATTTATATTATTTCAAGTTCATTAGCAAAAAAAATATGATCTTTATAATATATACTAATATACCTAAGTACTGGTTTCCTAAAAGTCAGGAGTTTAATGTT